CCTGACCTCCTGACTGGTTTGCCTATATTTGCCTAATGCTGGTAGGAAGATTGGAGGAAGGGATTTGTGGGAGCAGGATTCCCTGAGACTGAGAGCTCAAAATCTATCTTCAGATGAAAAATGGCAAACAAAATACACAGGACTCCCAAGCTCCACAGCTTTGGTTAATCACTTCCTGTGGGTCTCTCTCTCCTGGCCCCAGCCCCTGGAGTCAGGGAAAGGAAGATGCTGAGGCCTGTGGCTGCTATGATGGGGATGGGATTCTTCCCCAGTGGGCCATAGTTCAAGTGGCTGATGGGGAGGGACAGGGAGAGACGCAGTGGGCAGGGATGGTCCTAACCGTGTGATCATTGCCACAGAGTCAGAAGCTCCGGGATGTCTTCAACATGGACTTCCCTGACAACAACTTCCTGATGAAGACACTCACCGTGGTATCTGGTCCTGACATGGTGGACCTTACCTTCCACAACTTTGTCTCCTACAAGGAGAATGTGGGCAAGGTGCACGGGGGTACCTGGCTTAGGGCGTGGCACCTGGGATAGCCTGGACTTTCTGAGAGACGGGCCTGGGCTGTGGGGTGGTGCGGGCACCTTTAAGGTCAGGGGGCCTGACAGCTGTGCTCTGGGGTCCTGCAGGACTGGGCTGAAGATGTGCTGGCTCTGGTCAAGCACCCGCTGACGGCTAACGCCTCCCGCAGTACCTTCCTGGACAAGATGTAAGTGCCCGCTTGCCTGGCCTTAGCCTGTGGCGCTAAGTGTGTCAGGCCAGGGCCTGACAGGCTGCCTTCTGTCCCACCAGCCTGGTGAAGCTCAAGATGCAGCTGAACCCTGAAGGGAAGATTCCTGTGAAGAAGTGAGTCTCCCCTAATTCTCCCCACACTTCCTTCCAACTCCCCAAAGCCTTCCCTCTCCAGGCCTGACCCCTCTCTTTGGCTGGTGCCTTTCTCTGCTCTTTTAGTTTTTTCCAGATGTTTCCTGCTGACCGCAAGCGGGTAGAAGCCGCCCTCAGTGCCTGCCACCTCCCCAAAGGCAAGGTGAGTGGTTCCCCCCTCCCCAGCCCACTCCACTGTTCTCACTTGAGCTGGCTCTGACCAGATGGAAACTTAGAGCCAGGCCTGATGGGGGGCGGGGAGGGCAAGAATGACAGCACAGTCCCAGCCAATAGCCCCAAAGCCAGTAACTGTAGAGCCACTGGTTTCTGATACAGAGTCAGAACCAGGGTGAGGGGAGTGAGGTGCCCAGGTTCAAGCAGGTCAGTCTGCAGGACTTGGGGGCAGTGGGTGGTGTTCGGGGCAAGCGGCAGGGGTGGGTGCATTCCCATTCTAGCCTTAGAATGGAGGTGTGGATATGAATGTTTTCAGCCTGGAGGAAGCAAGATAAGATCAGAGGGGACAGGAGGCAGTCTGTAGGGATCTGAAAGCTGCAGGAAGGGATGAGTTCTGCAGGGTGTGAGGTAAGGAATAGAACCAAGGGTGGAAGCTGCCAGGACACAGACTTCAGCTCAACACAGGAAATGCTTTTCCCTTTCTTTTCAGTTAAGTAATGACTTTGTGATTACAAGTTGTATGCAGGGTCACCCCATGAGGTGCATTACGTGAATCACAAAAAGTTGCCCTCTGGGCAGAGATGCAGGCCTGAGCCAGAGTTCATGCCTGGATGGGGGAGTGCATCTCAGCTCCCTGTCCCCCCTTGGCCATGCTTTTATACAGGGCACCACCACCTGCAACCCATGGAGTCTTTTCTCCTGGTAAGAATATGGAACATTATGATTAACTAGGACCTCAATGATCCCCTGTCCCCATGAATCCCAGAAGGAATACTTCCCCAATAGTCACAGCTCTGTAAAGCTGGTGACCCCTGGGTACAACCCACCACAGGAGATGTAAGCACGGGGTGGGAATGGGCTCCTGCCAAGTGCTCTACAGTAAGCACCGAAAGCTGCTGTCAGTACACATCCACCCTCCTTTTGTCCTACCTACTGAGCTCCCACCTTGGCTAAATCCTCCTGATTTATCAGCTCTCCTTGTGTCCCAGTAGGGGCCACTGACCTATCTTTGCTTGGAGCTGCTGGGTCCAAGATCTAATTTTGGGGAGATCCAGTCTAGCTCTCCTGCTCCAAGCTGAAACTGATGTTGGCCTGCCAGTATGATCCTGGAGGACATTTGATGGTTTTTCTCTGGGATGGAATGCAAAGGCATAGAATCTCTGAATGACACTACTCTACTTTCTATTTCTGTAGCTTGGCCTATTCTGGACATTTCATGTAAATGGAATCATACAATATATGACCTTTGATGTCAGGCTTCATTCAATTAGCCTAATGTTTCAAGGTTCATCCCTGTCTTTGCCTGTATCAGTACTTCATTTCTTTTTATGGCCAAAGAATAAGTCATTTGTATGGATATATCACATTTTGTTTACCTATGTATTAGTTGGTGGACATTATGAACAATGTTGCCATGAACACCATATAAATGATTTTGTCTGGACATATGTTTCAAATTCTCTTGGGTACATACTACCTAGGGGTGGAATTGTTGGATCATATGGTCATTCTATATTTAACATTTTGAGGAACTGCCAAACTGTTTTCCAAAGTGACTACACCATTTTACAATCCCACCAGCACTGTATGAGGGTTGCAATGTCTCCACATCCTCACCAACACTTGTTACTGCCTTTTTAAAATTGATTTTAGTCATCTTAGTGGGAGTGAAGTGGTATCTCATTGTGGTTTTGATTTGCATTTCCCAAGTGACTAATGATATTGAGCATCTTTTCATGTGCTTATAGGTTATTTGAATATCTTCTTTGGACACATATCTATTCAAATCCATTGCCCATCTTTCAATTGGTTTGTTTGTCTTTTTACTGCTGAGTTGTCCCTTCTTGAATATCTGGTTTGCAAATATTTTCTCCCATTCTGTGGGTGGTCTTTTCACCATTTTTTTTTTTTAAGATTTTTATTGGGAAATTGGGAGGAGGGGAACAGATAGGTAGACAAATTGCTGTTTTTGTTCTTCAGTTTAGTTGTGGAGGATGTTGCTTCACTGACCCATGTTGGTATGATCATTGTGCTCTTACCGGGTGAAGCAATTGGTTGCCAGTCATTGGTGGGCCGCTCCCAGCGGCTCCCAGCCGCTCACACCAGGCTGCCAGCTACTCACATAGCTCACGGCAGCCCACTGCAGCCTACGCCATCTCCCGCGACTCACGGCAGCCCAGCTCCAGGTCGAGCTGTTGTTCATCATCTTAGCTGTGGAGGGCGAGCGTCACTGGCCCTCTATGTGGGATCCCAATTGCAGCCCTGCTGCTCAGAGCTGGCACTTCCAAGCCAGCTCTTAACCAGCTGAGCCACTCGGTTGGTCCTGTTTTCACCTTTCTGATGGCGTACTTTGAAGCACAAAAGTTTTGAATTTAGGTGAAATCCAATTTGTTTCTTTTTTGTTGTTGTTCTTGTGCTTTTTTGGTGTCTCCAACTATTACTGTTGGCTTTCAATTTTGCCTTTTAATTCTGTCAGTTTTGCTTTATGCATCTTGGGGCTCTGTTGTTAGCTGTATTATTTATATTCAAATTGCTTCTTTTTGAAAATATGTCCTCCACTTAAAAAATAAAAATAAAAGCTAGCCCACTGCTCAGGCAAGCAACACCACTTAATTCTGACCTGCTTTCCTCCCTGTTCTGGTCATTCTTAGTTCCAACCCTGCCCCAGCCAAGAGACTAGCCAGAGTCCAAATTCAGGAGCAAAGCAAACCAGCTAAGCACGCTCTCTTCTTAGCAACCAGAATCTTGAAAAGTGGGTGCTCAGCGTGTTCTTAATGGTCCTCTGTCTGCCCTGAGTCCTCCCTCTTACCAGGCCCCCTTGTACAAGGCTGGGCCTAGTTGGTGGCTCTTAGCACTGAGAAGGTGAGGCAGGAATGATCAGGTGACCTTTTATCCCCCCAGAATGACACCATCAATCCTGAGGACTTCCCAGAATCTGTCTATAAGAGTTTCCTCATGAATCTTTGTCCTCGGCCAGAAATTGATGAGATCTTCACTACCTAGTAAGCTTCTTGGGCTGGGCTGGGCATGGGGAAGGGGTGGTAGCTAAAATTCCCACTTGCCATGCTGACAATTAGGTGGCTTCGCTGGACAAGGGAGTTGTCTGAGCTCCCCAGCCTAGGGGATGTAGACCTGTGCTTTTTTCTCTGGCCTGCAGCCATGCCAAGGCCAAACCCTACATGACCAAGGAGCACTTGACCAAATTTATCAACGAGAAACAGAGGGACTCCCGCCTCAACTCCTTACTGTTCCCGCCAGCGCGGCCTGACCAGGTGCAGGGCCTCATCCACAAGTATGAGCCCAGTGGCATCAACGTGCAGAGGGGTGAGGACCAAGCAAACCCCTCACCACTTCTGGGCCTGTCCTGCTCTGGCAGCTGGGCTGTGGCCCTGACAGTTATCCCCTGCCCCCAGGCCAGCTGTCACCCGAGGGTATGGTGTGGTTTCTCTGTGGGCCGGAGAACAGCGTGCTGGCCCAGGACAAGCTGCTGCTCCACCACGACATGACGCAGCCACTCAATCATTACTTCATCAACTCCTCCCACAACACCTACCTGACAGGTGGGCCCTGGCCACATCACGGCTGACTTTTCCTTTTATGGTGGCTGCTCCGGTTCCCTGAATTCCTCACGGGGTTGCCTGTGGGCTTCCAATAGGACAGATCATGCTGGAGTGGGGTAGGGGAGAGCAGAACAGCCCTTGAGTGAAATCTCTGCCCTTCCCCCTTGCTCTGGCTCAGCTGGCCAGTTCTCAGGCCTTTCCTCGGCTGAGATGTACCGCCAGGTGCTGCTGGCTGGCTGCCGCTGTGTGGAACTGGACTGCTGGAAGGGGAAGCCCCCTGATGAGGAGCCTATTATCACCCATGGCTTCACCATGACCACAGACATCTACTTCAAGGCAAGACTTAGAGTGTGGGGGCTGGTGGTAATGGCCCTAGGGAAGGGCCCTGGTTTCTAAGCTTTCCGGGGTTGGGGGGCGTGAAGCAGAGAGGAGGAACAGCTGGGAGGCCTCGGATAAGCGGATAAGCATGGGGACACTGGTGCCAGAGGAGACAGAAGGCCAACACTGGTCATCCAGTTCTAATGTGTGTGTTGAAACTGGGGAGTGGGGAAGGGTGTCATTGGGGGAGGGGAAGCCTGGATCACTGATCCCCTCTCCTTTCCTCCTCCAGGAAGCAATTGAAGCGATTGCAGAAAGTGCCTTTAAGACCTCCCCCTACCCTGTCATCCTGTCATTTGAAAATCACGTGGATTCGTGAGTATCCAGGCCCTTTCAGCCTCGTTCTCTACCCTGTCCCCATCTCCTACCCATGCTGCCCTACACTCAGCTGTCCCTGGCCTCTAGCCATGCCCTCCAGCTGTCTCCCAGGTCTCAACTCAATTACCTCAGGACCCCAGGCTCACCTGCTTGTGTCCCTGCTTCCCAGGCCTCTCTCTGGTGCCCCTGATGGCTCAAATCAGGGGCCCAGAAGGATGGCTAAGAGTGGAACAGAACTGCTGAACTCCACCCTATTTCTGCTTCCTGCAGACCCCGCCAACAGGCCAAGATGGCTGAGTATTGCCGGATGATGTTTGGCGATATGCTGCTCACAGAGCCCCTGGAAAAGTTCCCAGTGAGTGGACTTCACTGTGGGGCATTTGGGCCTGGGGGCTGGGGACCTGAGACTTGGTAGGGGCCAGGTTTACCACGTGTCAGGTACTGTGCTGAGCTTTGGGGGCACATTAGCAACAAAGAGGCAGTCCCAGCCCTCACTGCTTACCCTCTAGTGGGGAGACAGATAAGGAGCCTAGTCATGACAACCAGTGGCTGATATGGGAGCACATGGCGAGTCCTGATCTGGTCTTGGAGATCAGGGAAGGCTTCCTGGAGGAAGTGATAGCTAAGCTGAAACCTGAGGGAGATATTGGATTTATGTTGGTGAGATTGGGGAAAGGGAGTTCTAGACAGATGGAATAGGTGAAACAGAACCTCACTGAGGAACTGGGGGTAAGTTGGGTCCGGCAGGGGTTTAGCACACGTGGGGGAGTGATGAGAAGTGAGGCTGGAGAAGTAGGCAGGGGCAGATGGAGCATAGCTTGGTATGAAGAAACGTAGGCTACACCCTGAACATGAGAAGACAGAGCTGACCCTCTCTCCTCTCCCACAGCTGAAACCAGGCACCCCCTTGCCCAGCCCTGAGGATCTCCGTGGCAAGATCCTCATCAAAAACAAGAAGAACCAGTTTTCTGGGTTAGCTTCCCCCTGCACCGAGCCGGGTGGGGAGGCTGAGGGCAGCTGCCCACCCAATGCCCCTGTGGGTGAGGACACAGGTGAGTCCGCCTGGGAGAAGTGGGGGTGGAGTAAGGGAACATCTGGAATGGGAGAGAGGGGCTGGGCCTGGAAGGGACGTGCTGGGGAGCCAGCCTGGTGCGGGGGTCCCTCCAGTCCCCAGTGCTGATGGAGCTGTGTATGGCAGTGTGGGCCAGTGAGGAAGGGGCTCAGCTGGAGGAGGAAGAGGAAGAGGAAGAGGAAGAGGAGTCAGGAAGTCTGGATGAAGAAGGGATAAAGAAGATGCAGTCAGATGAGGTGTGTGTGGACAGCCCTGAGGCCCTTCTGCCACCTCCACCGTGGAGCCCTCAAGTAGGGGTGTGGGGCCATGTCTCTGGGCTCCGGGCTCTCTTCTTCTCCACCCTCCTTTCTCCTCCCTAGGGCACAGCGGGCCTGGAGGTAACAGCTTACGAGGAGATGTCCAGCCTAGTCAACTACATCCAGCCTACCAAGTTCATCTCCTTCGAGTTCTCTGCCCGTAAGTTAGCATGAGGCGATGGTAAGCTGGAGGTTCAGCTAGATTCAGGAGAAGGCCCTGAATCAGCTCAATGGGTGGGGGCAAAAGGAAGGAGGGCCCTCCCCCTTTCTTGGCCTGGGGGCCCTGTCTATAAATATTCAGCAGAGGAGTCAGGCTAAGGGCTTATTTAAGTGGCAGTGGCTCCCGTTTCCCGGCACAGTACTGAGGAACTTGGCACAAAGCAGGATGCTCTGGAGTGTGTCGGTGACAGGCAGGTTGTTTATGACAGGCCACCTTAGCCAGGCTGGCCCCAGGGCTCCTGCAGGTTCTGTGGTTCCCAAGCCCAGAAGCCCAGGCCCTGTGGCGTGAGAACTCCTGGGAGAGGGTGGAAGGCTGAGAAACCAGTCAGTGCACGTCTGCTCCTCGTACTCTTCCCTTTCTGAGCACACTATGCTGTTTATTTTCTCTGGACACAAGCAGTGTCTTCCTTTCACCCTCCGTGCATGAACACCTCTTTCTGTATACACTTGTGCACAATGTACATCTCTGCAACCCTGAGCCCATAGCCTACACTCCTACCTGTGCCCATCCATGGCGTGTACCACCCTCCATGTGTACCTCTCACCACCCTCTTGTTCAGCAGAGCTGGCAGGCTTCAGACTCTTCCCATCACAGCATGTTCCCGACCCTCTGGGCTTATCCTAGCATGTTTCCCGTATCTTCTGCACCCACCCAGGGCAAGCAGCCCTCACCCTCCAGACTGTGACACACTCCCCATCCCTGTGCATATTCACTGCACATGCCCTTTACCCCCAGCACATGCTGTTACCCACACAGATCTGCACATCCCCCAGACCCTGGGGCTGGCCCCTGAACCCTCAGCCCTCAGTGGAAACGCTAGGATGGAGGAATTTCTGTGCTGGAGCGAGCTGCACCAAAGGGGAGGGCAGGCCTGAGGGAGGGCACAGCCTGATGTGGACCCCCGCTCCTCTTTCTCCCCTACACAGAGAAGAACCGAAGTTATGTCATCTCCTCCTTCACAGAACTCAAGGCTTATGACCTGCTCTCCAAGGCCGCAGTGCAGTTTGTGGAGTATCCTTCAGGCCTCAGTAGCCAAGGTCCCGGGTTGGAATGGAGGGATGGGGACAGGGCTCTCAGGGGGAGGGGGTGTTGGGTCTTCCTGGTACAGGCAGCTTCGGCCTCCGATACTCTGGAACAGCTACAACAAGCGCCAGATGAGCCGCATTTACCCCAAGGGTACCCGCATGGACTCCTCCAACTACATGCCCCAGATGTTCTGGAATGCTGGTTGCCAGATGGTCGCACTCAACTTCCAGACGATGGGTGAGGGAACTCCCAGGCCCTTAACAACCCTCCCCTGCTCCTCCCACCATCACCCCATGCCTGGGGGTGGGGTTAGAACAGACAGGGGTGTCCGGATATTTGTTTAGGCTCTGGGAGCACTGCAGATGTGTGAGCATTTAGGGGTAGAAATGCATTAGCTCATGCCTGTATGACTGCATGTATATGAGTATGTAAGTGAAGATGCCAGGGTGTTTGCATGGGTTCTGGCTGCTCTCTGAGTGGGTCTGTGAGAATACCTGCTCCACTGGCCTTAACTCCAACTGTGAGCCTGCTTTGGTCCTGCTGACTCCAGGTTGTGGGCCCTTCCTGAGAGATGAGACACCCTAGGAAGCTAGACTAGGACATGAGAAACCCTCATGCCCAAGGTCTGCTCAGCCTCCCGATTCACAAGACAGGAGAGAGGTTGGGAAATGTGAAAATGGAGAGCGGGTACAGATGCAGGCCCAGGCCTTCCTCACCCAGTGTCCTTGTCCCCCCAGACCTGCCGATGCAGCAGAACATGGCACTGTTTGAGTTCAATGGGCAGAGCGGCTACCTCCTCAAGCATGAGTTCATGCGTCGACCAGATAAGCAGTTCAACCCGTTCTCAGTGGACCGCATCGATGTGGTGGTAGCCACCACCCTTTCCATTAAGGCAAGGCCCTGAGGCAGACAAGTGGCTGGGAGGGCTGGGGACTTGAGGGGAAAGACACAGGAGCCCCATTCCTCCACTCCCAACCCCCTCCCATGATATCCTGAAAACTTCAGCCCCAGCCAGTTCGTGCAGTAGCAAGTTGCCTTGGAAACTGCCTCCTCCTCAGCACTGGAGGCTGCCTCTTAGTCCCTATGGAAACCAAGGGGAAGGGCTGAGGCTAGGATGGGGGAGGGGAGAAGAGTGGGCAGAGTAGGGCAGCAGGAGCCCCGGGCTCTGGGGGAGGGCCCAGTTCTTTCCTTGCCTGGGGAGGGAGGTGGTGAGGCCCACACCTCTTCCCTGAATGCTGGAAGCACCCTGGTTGCCAGAGCTTAGCTGTAACCCTGGAGCCACACAGCCTCTACTTGGTGGCCAGAGCTGAGTGGGGCTCTTCACAGTACCCAGGAATGGATGCTTCAGCTAGAGGAACTAGAGGCCCCAGGTGCTGGGGAATGGCCTGGGTGGGGCAGCTGATGCTGGCCTCCCCCTTACCCCCACCTCCAGGTAATCTCTGGGCAGTTCCTGTCAGAGCGCACTGTGCGTACCTATGTGGAAGTGGAGCTGTTTGGCCTTCCTGGCGACCCCAAGAGGCGCTATCGCACCAAGCTGTCACCCATTGCCAACTCCATCAATCCTGTCTGGAAGGAGGAGCCCTTTGTCTTTGAGAAGGTAGGGGGCTAGGGCAGGGCAAAGGCTGAGGTCTGTCCCTAGTTCTTGGCCTGTACTTACAGAAAAGAGGAAATACATAAAGGGAGTTTCTTGATTCCTCCTCGTCTCTCCACCTCTCACTCTGTGCCCTCCTGAGTTTTAACAGTCCAAAAACCAAGTTTACAGAAATATACTTAGTGGGAAGGTTTTGTGTGTGTGTGTGTG